TCAGCGCAGCCTCTCTAGCGGATGGTTGCTGTTAGCATATGCTATTACTCGAGATACTTGTCGAATGCCCCCGCTTCTCACTGAGAGCAAAATGCGGTCGAGAGGGGAAGGACGAAAAGAGGAGGCTGGTACGTGGTGATATTCGTTCTTGATCTCGCTTCACTTATTATCAAAATTTAAACTAGAGGCATCACTGAAAGATGGAATTGCTTACAAATTATCGCTTCTTTCTAATAAATTTCATATTCATTCTGCTTCTGCTCGGTGTTGCAGAAACGCTCACTGTTTCGTCAGTGTCACCAATTAATAACCATCGCCCGCTGTTGTAAGTTCACTAATTTTTTGTTTGCTCGATGGTGTAGCCGAAAGAAAGGGAGAGGGGGCGAAAATGAGAAGGAAATGGGCAGGATTTACAGGGAACAATTGAATTCATATGTCAGACAATTTGACTGAGTAAAATTGGCAAGTTCCACTGCTCTGCCTCGCCATTAGCTAAAATTTTTGCTTAGTTGGTGCAGTGGCATAGCGTATCAACTTAATTTGGGCCTATTTTAACGTATTTTTTTTAGCATGCGTGATGACCGTATGCTTTGGCGAAACGTAGAAACATCGCCTGTTCTGAGCGTGGGATAGCTGTTGTGTGATATTTGATATTTGCAGTTTAAGCGGTTCACATCAGGACCTGAATGCTGGCAGCGGCAATTATCTTCCCTGTTCCACCACCGCTTCATTCAGTGAGTCAGCCGAGGGTGTGCAGATTGATGATGTGATCGAGGATTACATGACAATGGTGAGTTCGCTCATGCAGCATCGAAAAAAAGCACTACTCTGAATGTGCTTAGCTGAAGTCCAGTTTGAGACGCACATTCAATGAGTGCGATCGTTTTCGCGCAGGAGACCTCTGCTTTTGCATTTTTCTCACCTATCTCTCTGTCTCGGGAATTTTACAGCTTCCTCCATCTCTAAGGCGGAATGTAACGTAAGCCGTGCCATCTGTGATATGCACTTTGCTTATTCACTACGGTGGATGATATTTGCATGCAAGTAGCCCTGGAGGATCGAACATGACTGCATCAGAGAATAAATGATTTACCCTTGAACAGCTCTTTGTATATCTTCCATGAGCGGCAGTTCTGGATTTGGCTTGATTTCGGCGATAATTTTTGAAATCCTACTGTTGCATGCGATCCATTTCATGCACTTTTGTTTCTGGCACTCTTGCTGCGATTACTGTTCGAGCTCGCTGAAGAGGCGTTGTACTTACCAGTACTACGGATGTATGCTCCAGATGTCCTGTTCAGTCAAAAAAACTAATGATATATTGTCTTTTGCAGTAAACAGCAATCAGGTAGTGTTGGTGAGCTTGGGGACGCCAAAGGTTTGGGGCATTGCTGTTCAGGGCATGTTGGTATATCCTGGTAAAATCACCAGTATTGGCTGCTTCGGGCGATCTTTGTTAAGCTCCACATAAATTGTGCGGTGCAAGAAATGACAGCTGTGAATTAATTTTTGGATATTAGGCGTTTATCTTTTATCATTATCACCACTCGCGTCATCTTTTCCTTCCGCATCATGCTTCCATCGCTTAACACTTTCATTGTTAGGATTTGCGACAGTGCAATGGCTGTTTTTGGCCCGAGGATTGAAAGGTCTTTCTGTTTCATAAATGATTTTTGGTCAAATTGATTTATTCCGCTAAGCGCTTTAGTGGCCCACACACACACAACTTTCGGAACACAAAACACACAAACAGAAAATGACTAAAGTACCTTTAGGAATTTGTGCCTCATCGCCATCAATACTGACTGCCTTTCTGGACAGTAAATGACAAAATCAAATTTTCTGGTTTTTTTTTTTTACTGTGTTTGGAAAAATGTGAAGTATATAAGTTTTGTCGTTTGGAATACAAAATATGAGAAGAAAATTTTGGATATAAAAAAAAACATTTTTGTTGTTTTTCGGAATATTTTTTTTACTAGTTGAAGAGCTGTTTTTTCTTTAGATTTTGGAATAAAAAACAGCGCCTTTTTCTTAGTATGTCAGGCATGCGGCTATTTGGTTTGCATAAAGTAGCTGCTTTTTACTATTTTTCAAATATAGCAACATTTCACTTTCTTTTATTACATTTTCCTTTATTTGGCATTCTGTGAACAGGTGTGAAGAATATAAATAAATGAAAAGTATAAAATGAAAAGCAAAAATGCGGTAATTGTAGTGGATAAAATGCGATAAAAAGCATAATCATGGTCGCTGTTGTTCCCGCTGCTCTGTTGCTGCTCTCCGCTCTCTCCAGTGCTTTTACTCTGAATGCTTAAGAAAATGAAAATATGGGAAGCAGCAACTGCGCACTCTTTTTTTTTTCTATAGTATAAGCTGACTTACTTCCGGCGTATGCATGTTTTAAGGACTGGCTTTTTCCCATTCATAAGTTTTGGTTAATGACCAGAAATGCTGCTCTGTATTTGGATAATCTGCACTTTGCGTTATCGACGTTGCTGTTTTGTACTTACGTATTTATTCAGCTGTCAAAATGCCTAACAACTGACGAACTGTCACAGTATGCAACGTTGCTTGTAAGATTTCGCAATGGTAACATGCCGATTACTGAGTTTACACAGAAACTCAGTGAATTGTATGGACCCGAGCGATTACATCTGCTTACAGGTAGCAGTTCCACCTCATTATTGCTTTAATAAGTATTATCTGATCAACTTTTTTTTTTGAAACAGCGAGTGTATTTATTCAGAACGTTAACTTATCAAAACTGAACCAGAAGTTGTAAAATTCAGCTTAAAATCAGTTTGAAAGTGTAAACTGCATTAAAATCCAGGCTTGGCGTGTGAGAGTACCAAGTAGCGTAACGAACACAGGATTCTCACACCAACTGCTGGCCGATTAGTCCTGGGATTTTTGATAGGGAAAAGGCGGTCGGGATGAGCAGTTGACGAGATGCAATGGCTTGTAGTAAAATGAATTTACA